ACTCTGCTCATCAACCCCCATTAAAAAGCCCTTAAAGTTTCTTGCATTCTCCACATTTTTTATCATCAAACTAAAACATTCTGCATAAATTGTACAAAGAAAATGAGACAGTGGATCACCTTCTTGCAAACCTCTTGAGGCCATAAAAAAGTCTTTGGGACTGCCATTTATAAGTATCGAGAAATGAGCAGAAGACATACAAGCATAGATTCAACTCCTCCACTTTTCACCAAACCCCATTCTTTTTAAAATCTCCAATAATATACCCCATTCCACCCTATCGTAGGCCTTCTCCATATCAGATTTAATACTATCCCTGGCATCTGACTAAGCATCCTAAAATGAATACATTCTTGAGCCACCATCACGCTATATGTGATTAAGTGATCTTGAATGAATGCTGATTGGGGACCACAAATAATCGAGGGTAGGACCCCATTTAACCTTTCTGCAAGAATTTTGGCAACAATTTTATATAAGCTTGTGAGAAGACTAATTGGCTTGATATCTGTCAACGTTGCAATAGTAGATTTTTTTGGAATCAAGGCAATGTAAGTTGAATTAACCCCTTTAAAAAGCTTCCCTCTCAACAAGAATCCCCTAACCATCTCCAAAAGCTCTACCTTTACCAGCTTCCAAAACTTTTGAAAGAAGAACAAAGAAAAACCATCAGGGCCAGGGACTTTATCCCCTAGAAGTGCGAAGACAGCTAATTTCAGTTCTTCCATCGTCACCATTGCTTCCAAATTGACAGACACATTTGCTGAAAGAACCCTAAAAGGTATTCTATCCAACCTCGGGTTAAACCTAACTTTAGACGAAAAATCCTTTTTAAAGTGATTGATGATTACCAATTCCACTCCATTGCTATCATCATCAACACCCTGTATAGATAAACCCGATATATCATATTGTCTTCTTCTAGCACTAGCAATGGCATGGAAGAATTTAATATACAAGTCCCCCTCCTTAAGCCATTTGGACTTAGACCTCTGCTTCCAATAGATCTCCTTCATTCTAAACAAATCACAAAGTTCCTTAAGTTTGATATTTCTTCCATTAATCAACTACTTGTACGAATTCCATTGACTTGAGAAGAGTAATGAATAGACTCAATGGCTTGCATGGTCTCCTCCATCTTAGCCTTAACATTAAACTTGTTTTCTCTTTTCCATAAAATCAACCTATGCTTGATATTGAGCAATTTTTTATCAATCTGAAAATCCAAAGAACCATATGTGACCGTATTAGTCCAAGTAGACTTAATCAGCTGCACTACCTCCTTACCTCAAGCCACCCAATCTCCATACGAAAGGGTTTAGGCCCCGCCCTAGTGAAAGTTGTTTGAAGCAGAATGGGCATATGGTCTGGAGAAAGGCGGGGTAGGGCTCTAACCGAAGCCATTGGGAATGCCTACACCCAACTATCCGATGCAAAAAATCCGTCAAACTTAGACATCGACAAGTGAGTTAAACTAGAATTTGAACAAATAAAGGAAGCACCAAAAATAGGAAAATCCATCAGAGTATTGCCTTCAATAAAACAATTAGAAAGCCGCATGGCTAAAGTGATGGGCCCCCCCAAAAAGAGACTCATTTGGCCATTTAATTAAATTAAAGTCACCACCGATGCACATATGAATATCATAAATATTCAAAAACTCATTTAAATCATTCACAAACAACTCCTTTAAAGCAAAAGTATGAGGCCTATAAACATTCAATAATCCCCACGAAAATCCCACTATGGGTCCCATAAAACCCACAAAACGAAAACCATTCCTAACAGTAGAGTCAAATTTCGAAACAATTAAAGGGTCCCACAAAACCACTAGCAGCCCCCACAACATCAGTACCCAAAAAAGCAAATGCCTCGAGCCCCAAACTTCCCTGACCCCCGAGAGCAAAGGACTGAGAAGTTTAGTCTCTTGCAAAATGATGATAGTTGGTCTAATTTTCTAACTAGAAAAAGAATATCACGTTTTCTTCTAGGGTCACCAAAACCCATAACATTCGAAGATAGAAGAATCATTAAAAAGGATTAGAAGATGAAGTACTTGGACCTTCAATACAGGGTCCGAATAGATCTCCTCAAGGGCCATGTAGCCAAGTCCGCAGAGTCCGTTGAGGAGCCCATCGAAGCATCCGTAGGAGAGGGATCGTTGTTCAACTCCACCACATGGACCTCACCCACAACAACACTCCTGCCTCTCACGAAATCCACCGAGGGAGATACCACACGTAGCTAGCCTAGCTGACGATCTTGAGGTTTCAGGACACCTTTGGCTTTCAATTTCCTAATAGTCTTAGCAGGGGTCTTCTTTTCTAACAACTCTTTATAGATGACACCGAGGGAAACATCAAAATCAGTCCCCATATCATTGAACGTCCTTTCCACTTTGCCTTCTTCAACCTTATCCTCCTCCTCTACAACATGGCTAACACCACCAGGCAGCAACAGAGTAGGCTCCCCTCCTGACTGAACATCCAAAGGTTCAGAATTTCTAAGTCTACAAGGGCACCCTGAGCATCAAAGAATGCTTCCTTCTTGGCCTCGTCCTCCCATGGCTGATCATCAACTACCATGTCAATAGGCACACATCTTCATTTGATTCCATCGAAACAATAGCCATAGGGTCTACCTCCAAAGGATCGAACATGGGTCTGGGAGTAGCAGGAGGTCCCGTCCTAACAGCACATTGATGAGGCGGAAACTTCATTCTAACTTTAAGGAGGGAGAAGCATAGCAGCCACAAAGCTTTGAGTTAGTCTCTGCGAGAAAGAATACCAACCTTAAGATGAGTTAGTCTCTGCGAGAAAGAATACCAACCTTAAGATGAGTTAGTCTCTGCGATAAAGAATACCAACCTTAAGATGCACCTGGAGAACCTTCCCTAACAAGCAACTATTTAATAAAAGTTTTTCATCCACCTCACGGTCAAAGCCAAGAGGAGGTCCGAGATATCTTTGGAATAGGCTTAATATGGAAGGTACCTAACAAAATAAATGCACTTTCCAAGGGGCTATGCATATCTTCCATGGTATCCCCACCCATCCCATTTGGCAGAACAACACTGTCATTCAAACCTTTAGATTTACAACTAGCAGCCCATGGAATTGGTGAACCCGCGAGACCACCCAAAGTTGTAAACCTAGCTTTACTCTTAAAATCAACTAATTCCTCCCCAAGAAGTGGTCCATCATGCATCCTGAAGATGATAACAGCTACCGCATTAGGTGGACTCGAGGCAGGTACCAATCCCGAAGTATTAACACCCGTAGTCTCATTACATGGCAACTCCCTCGAATAATTAGCAGTAAACTCTAGAAATAATCCAACCAGCACCCATTTCCTTTTCAAATTTGAATTAGGCAAATTCAAAATCTTGCCACTCTTCTTCTTTTTGAAATGTTGCCTCTGACATCAATTAAAGTGATGGCCATCGAGATTCCCAGCAATAGGCAGTTTTGAATAGCTGCCCTGTGCTGAGCATCTCCACCATTATAGCTCAAACCTGACTTCACATCTTTCGCCACTAACCATGTCTTCAACCCCTCCACCATGATCTCTGAAGGCAACGCCTCTTTTCCAAGGTAAGACCGAACGATCCCATCATCAGCCACCACTTTAATAAAGTATACTTCCCAACTCGGAGCTAAACAGATTGTAGTAGAGGCTGACCCATCACCATCCAAACCTAAACCCTGACTGAACGTCGGTCAGCCCCTACAAAGACGTCCAATCCAAATCACAGTATTCACCACAGCTATCAACAATACTTTTGATAACATATAGTTTCCACACATTAAAAAGAATACCCCAAAGTCTCACCCATGTACAGACTCTCTAAGCTAACGACGAATGATAAGACGGTTTCCACATATCCAAGGAAAGAAGTTTACCTCGGACTCTGAGAAACCTAACATGTAAAGCTCGACAAACGTCCACCTCAGAATAAAGAATGAAAATCACTTTATTCTCTCCAATGATCTTTACCTCCGGAACATAGTTGAGAAACCACCATCTTTTGGCCCAATCTCCAAAACCAAAGATGTCATTGGAAGGGGGCGAGAAAGAACCCACCACACAATTTTTTATCAACAAAAAACCCTTATAACTAACGAATGAAGCATCTCTAACACCACGCCATTAACAGACCTCTAAAGCCCAACAAGCTCTCCTTCCATCTCTCACTCTCTCTCTGTCTATTGTCACTCCCTTTATATTCAATCAAGGACCTCTTGGCCTTGTTAGGCTACTGAGGCTACCCTATAGGGACTAGGGTTGGGCTAGAGCAATAGCTACCAAGGCCAGTTGCCACCCATAAGAATTGATGTTGATCTTAAGAATTTTTTACCCCAAAATTACACGTTATGATAAAATTTGAAGGTGCGCCTTAATTATATTGTTTAAGATTGCAACCTTTTAGAAACCACACCCAATTTATAAATAGAGTTTCAAATAATCCTAAGAATTTTTTACACAAAAATTACATGTTACGATCAAATTTGGAGGTGTGCCTTAATTGGATTGTTTAAGGTTGCAACCTTATAGAAACCACACCCTTAAAAATTCTCTAAGAACTATATCTTTAAGCACCTCCGACCATCTGTACTGTCGTATGCACAGTAGTGATACCTTAACATATCATCTCGCGCGACAGCCGGAGTAGAAAAGCAGTTGACACAAGCCTCACAGTTTCAGTTAATTCATACCCCTTAAACCATCAAAATCCTTCATCTCTCCCCACTTATTTTCCTTTATCAAGGTCCTTTATCCTCACTTTGGATATTTCCATTGTTTACGGGATGCTATATTTTATAACCCAACAGGACCAATGACGGATCACTTATTCATAAATAAGCCCCAAACAAGCCCTAAGTGAATGTGCAGACTGGTTCTTATACGTAAGATATTGCTATTGACTAATCTTTTACATAGATTTTTCATGCTCCATTCCTTATGCACCCTTCACCAATCTGGGCTTCTGCTCCAAAAGGTAAATTAAAACCATCCCTTATATTGTGAATGGAATGTACAATGTTATCTTGCATAATTCCTGTGTGATTTCATCAAAAACTTGTTACAACTGGACATTTGTCACTGGCAAGAAGCTAAACCCAATGTTCCTAATAATGCATGGTCCTGATGAACCCTGCAAGTACCTATAAACAGGCAGCACCATGTAGTGTGGCAATTGCTAAAATATGCTTTTGGGCAGAATCCAATACTCTTTAGGGGGGGAGAATAATTCCTTGTGACGCTGCAGAGAAATGCAATGGGATCTAGTACAGAAAATTTGATTCAGTGGCATGCACAAGAAGATGGATGAAGAAATGCCATGTGTGGTGGTTACACATTGTAGTTATCTAGTCCGAGATCTCTCAATGCAGCAGTTGCAGCATCTTTGCAGCTTTCATGGTTTTCCTTGGCCTTCCTCACAAGCGTCTCAATACCGTTATTCAGCAAAATGGACCTGCATGACAAACTACTAGTGAGATGAATATGTAGAAAGGAAACAGGTGAAAATTGTGTAATGCCTCGTAACATGTAGCTTTTCTCTCTAAAACTGCCTAATAACAAAGGTATTTCCTATAAACACGTGGAATTTATACAATTAATATATAATCTCTTTTTTACAAAACTTTTTAAGGTGCAAGCTAGCAATCAACTGAATGTCTTACTATTTTGTTGCCTACCGAAAATTTGAAAATATCAGATGCTCTCTGTTCACTTTCGTGGAGCTCCTATAGCCAAAGACTTGGGATGCTTAGTTCAAGAGAAAAGAAATTAACATTGGTTAATGCTAAAAATTGAAGACCAAGTGATGGATCTTCAGACGTAGAAGGCCCATGAGAAGTCAAAACAAGGGATTTACTTAAGGGGTCTGAAACCTATGCATAAAGAGAATGCATTATGACCCTACAGCTATTTTCACTTGATGCTTGCAATTTCAGCCAAGTATGTCTCATGGCAGGTGACCTACGAGTTCAAATGGCCTGATATGCCAGTCTAAAAAACTAATGAACCTACTTGCCTCAAGATGAATGGCTTATTAAATTCCACGCACAATGAACGCAACTTGTGTGAATGGTCCAATTTGATGAATGTATGGAAACAAATTGGATCAGGATCTTTAAAAGCATAATGGTGCAGGAAGGAAAGGTGGGAAATTAAATCCACCTCTTTCGACAACCTTAAACAAGTACAAATCAGCAATAATGGACGGCTGTAAATCAAGCGAAGAGAAGAACTTTCTTTCATAAAATAAAGTTCATTCCAATAACATGAGCATCCCATAATGTGATGTCCCACATTTTATAAGCCTATTAAACCCTAAAATTAACTTGAGATCCAAGTTTATAATATAAGACTTTAAAATACCTCTAAAGCAATAATAAAGTTTCAGAAATACCCTTTGAACAGTAACCCATGAACAATACCTATGAATAGTAACCCATGAGCAATACCATGAACAATATTGCAAATAGTTAAAAAAAAAAAAAATAAATAGAATTTAAGTGTTGGAGATTAACCCCACATTATAATTCCTAAAAAATTAAACTTAAAAAAATAAATACACCTGCATCCATAAAATAAAATAAAATAATACTAAACATTTTAATCACCTAGCTCTTGAACTTCATCATTCTATCCTGGTTGGAGGAAACTCGCCATCGATTTTTGAAATAGGTTAATACAAATCTTCCTCTAAATATAAGGTCTCTATCGATCCGAATATTGCACATTCTCATTGGGGCTTGATCCTAGGACCTATGGGTTAAAGGCCTGATCAAAAATATCCTCAAACAAGTTGCTGAGGATTTTGGTGCACCTAGCTACAGTAACCTACCTTTGCAGGGGGGAATACTTTGCTTAAAAACAGGAAAGGTAAGCCCCACCATTGGCGAGAGAAAAAAACTCTTTATGGTCACTGCCTCCAGTTGCCTCTTTTACTTCTTGATCACCACCACTATCAGTCACTACCATCATTGCGATGGCCATCACCACCGCCTACAACTTGTTCTTGCCATAGAGAGAAACTCCAAGTTCTTTCTTTTCATCCAATGGTTCAACCACAATGGGATCACCATCAAATACATGATCACCTAGGTCTTTATCAAAAATAGGATTATTGTCAAAGATAGGAGCACGATCAAAGATAGGACCATCCATTGATTCAAAGAATATTGAATCCAAATGAAAATTGGATCCTTGTTGTTCTCCTTCAAAATTATGTTGTTGTCGATGCCATTGTGCATTAAACCATTTATGTAACTTGAAATATCATCAGTTTGTTTCCACTTAGACTTGGACTCTGATTCACACCAAAATCCCTATAAACCCTCATGATTTCGATATGTCATGAGGATCCCTCTTTTTTTAGGGCACGTTGTTGCTGGCCCCACTTGTGCAACATCTATGTAACCCTCTCTGTCAAGTTGCTTATTTCCTTGCACAATCGAATTAGATCGGCAGCCCTATGGCTAAGACCTCCACGACCCCAAATAAGTAAAAATCAGCAACCATGGAGAAAACATATGGCTGCAAATCAAGCCAAGTGAAGAACTTTCATCTTTCGTAAAATAAAATTCATTCCAATAACATATGCATCCCCATACTATGATGTCCCACCTTTTATAAGCCTATGTAACTCTAAAATTAACTTGAGATTGATATAAACAATTTAAGACATTAAAATACGCCCACAATACTAAAATTTCAGAAATACCCCTATGAACAGTAACCATGAATAGTAACATGTGAACAGCATTGTGATCACGAATAATAAAAAAGAAAATAAAAAATAGAAACTAAGTGCTGGAGATTAACCCCACATTATAATTCCTAAAAAAAAAATCCCTAATAGAAAAATAAAATGTATACCGGCATCCATGAAAATAAAAAATAAAACTAAATTTTTTAATCACCCAACTCTTGATCTCCATCACATGACCTGATGCACACTATCAACATCTAAAGTTGTGACGTATAGCACACCGGTAATGAGTTGGACATGACTATTGCATAAACATTATGCCGTAAATGTTACTTGAGATGGGAGGGGCTAATTACTTGCCAATTTATTTCCTAATAAGCTAAGTTGAAGTCACTTAGGGACCACTACAGCACAAAACTCCAGGATTCCTCTAGCATTACAAGATTTCACAATGACTAAGAACATTTTAACATTGATTTAGACTGAAAAGAAAAAACAAAGAAAACCATGGACAAGTGTGATCCCTTATAAATGATTGGTTGGCAATATCCAGATGTAAGTCTAATAACATCAAATAAAACATGCCTGTTTTCATGATTCCGAGCAACAAGATTTCGAATCATGAGGCAAGCCTGTCTTTGCATCTGATGGGCAGCAGGAAACTTCTGCATGGCTTCAATTGCAACATCACCCACACCAGCTTCAATTGCAGCGCTTGCATTTTCAGGGGATCTCAGAGATAGGGCACAGACAATAGACATTATCTGCATCACAAAAGATTATGAAAGTTTGAAATACGTGAACAGCATTTTATTACTCTTCAAAACAAAACTAAAATGAACTATATTTCCCTGGTACCAAATATAACCAAAAATTCTAAGAGAAATGAAATGATTTGGTATATTATTTACCTCCAGTAAAATGGAAGGATCATCAGAAAATCTAGATGAAAGTTTTATAAGTATATTAAGCCCTCCCTTCTGAATAGTGCAACTTTTGTTAGAATCACTTCCTGCTAGCTTCAAAACGAGATATGACATTTCAGAATGATACTATGAAATGAAACAAGAAGATAAAATTTCATGGAAAAGATAAAATCAATATAACGAATTAAGATCTATAGGATGAAGCACAAACTTAAAAAACCTTGCACAACAACGTGCAACAAGCTTTAGCGACAGCTTTATCATTTCTTGCACCGCTGTCATCAATACACTGGAGAACCACATCAAGCCCTCCACTTTCAGCAATCGACCGGCATATTTCATCCTGCATTAAGAAACAGAATCCCAGAATCAAAACACGTAAAAATGAGGTTGAAAATCATGGCATAAAGAGAACTAAAAGAGGAACTTTTTAAGTCAAGGGCGAAACATTGGTGAAAATAATCAATCGAAAAGTTAAGTCATGCAGTTTCAAGAGTTTCATATGAATGAATCAAAAGTCTTATTTTTAATCAAATGAAAAATGTACTAGCAAGATACTGATATGAGGCTACTGCTTGAAAACGGGTCACATTAATGTCAAGTTGGTGTGAATACTATAAACCTTGGAAAGACCATGAATGTCGATGTTTCGAAGGGTTTAGATTAACTTCCAAGAAAGTAATATGAATGCTTTTGGGTAAAAATAGTAGCCATCATATTCTTTCATTGCATTGACTCTTGAAAATCTAAATATCCATTAATTTAACCAAAGTATATTACCTTTCAATGTAGTTGGAAACCATCTTTATATTTGTTTGTTGTTTTAGGTTGTTTATGCTTTAGTGTAGTGGATTTAGTCCCATGTTGTTTTAGGTTGTTTATTCCTTTCTCATGTTGTTTTAGGTTGTTTATCCCTTTCTCATGTTTGTTTTAGGTTGTTTATACTTTAGTGTAGTGGATTTAGTCCCATGTCAAAGAAGAAGTGATCTTACCTCAACCCAACACAATAGAAGGGGTTAGCCCCTCCTATTGCGGATGTATTAAACAATTCAATTGAAGGAAACAAAATACTCCCTCCCCATGCCTCCCTCCTCCCTCCTTAGGCCTCACTTTGGGCCACCTTACTCTCTAGCTTCGATTTAAGGCACCTCTTCTCTCTGGGCTGGAGAGAAATGATGCTTGACTACAGCTAATAGAAACTAAGACCACAGGAATCACTTAAGGTAAAATGTCAATCTCATATTACTTTATGAGACCAGATAATAACTGCAACGAAATCTCGCAGGTAGAAACTGAATTGCAAACCAACGAGGTACAGATGAGATGAATATTAATTTGTAGAATAAAGCCTGAATACAACTATATAATCATTAATATCCATAAATGGCTTGCATGGCATTTACTATTAGAGCTGAAGAATCTCCTGATAAACCAAACCAGGAGACATTTGCAAAGCAGACGGCTGGTGCTTCGACAAGAAAAAATGATGAAACATTGAACACAACAGCAAAAGAAGATTTGTTATGGATGCGAGAAGTGCAGTCACTTTAAACATGACTTCAAGGTAAATTTGCAAAAGGCAATGCAGAGCTAGAGGCTCATAGTATGGGCAAGTCACTAACGAGGAGTGGGAAATTCAAACATCTTGTGCATTTCTCATGGAGACCAAGCTATCACTTGATTTCACCGCAGGGATCCAAGATTGCGAAGATGAAGGAGATACCACAGTGACAGATATCAGGCTAATGTGGCTGAGTTCATTACTACAGAAAGATCAACAGTAGAAATGACTGGATAATAGACTTAGGGTGTTCAAATCACATGACTGGAGATAAAGACAAGTTCGTACAAATGCTCAAAAATGACAATAACTGAGTGGAAATTACTACACATAACACTCAATAACTGATCACACATGTCGAAGACATGTGAGACATGCTTCTGGAAAGATATGCGTGGATGCGACATGCTTTTGTTAAATGATCGATGCATGGTAACATGCTTCTGATAAGATATGTGGGTATGGATACATGCTTCTGTTATGATTTGATGAGATAATTGTGCCAGCAACTGTGATTTATCCTTGCTCTCTATGATAGAATGAGAGTTAGGAGTGTATGTGTTTGGGAGGTCGCGCCCCCAAAACTTATGTGATGCACTACTCATTGGGACCCCTTTAATGGCGTAGCGCTCTCTCACTAAAAAGGCAAATGAGAGGGTCGTGTCTTGCAAGGCCAGTGCCTATCAAAAGCCCCAAAACGCGTTAGGGTTGTGTGCATGTGTGAGAAAATACGCAACGAATTCACTCGTTGATGGTGTCTCTCTACTGATTGTGATAGTAGGGGTTCTACACATCAAGATTTGATTGGCCCAATGGGTAGGACTTCTACGTCAGGAGTTAGTTTGGTATCAGAATAATAGGTTTAGGATTCCTATCTTAATAGAAATACACTCTAAGTCATACTTATTACGATATCAAGATCCCATGTAACTAGATCTAGCATGGAAGGAATTCATAGAACCTTAGAAAATATGAGCGGACCTATCCGGTACGTCGGTAGAAATTAAGTGGACGCATCCAAGGCGTCGGTGGGGTATATAGATAACTTACTTGGGACGTCAATAGGGTACTTTGTGAAATCCTTTAAATCATGTTAAACTGAGCATTTCTGTTGAAGGATTTATATATGCACTTCCTCATACCGGTTCAATATGCATTCAAATCTTCTGAATTATGTTGAATTATGGTTTTCTGAATTTGAAACTATTCTACATGTATGCTCTTCCTCATATTGTTTTTAATATGCATTCTTTTAGAAAATATTTACTTTTGCTAACCATGATTTTTTAGGATTATGATAGTCACTTACTGAGTAGCCAAACTCATCAAACTGTTGTGAATTCTTTTTCATAATAATTGCAGCCGTATTGTTCGTATGTACAACAGGAGTAGTTTGGAAGAAGTTTGTAGTCATGAATAAATCCGCCTTTGTAACTTTTGTTCTATCAAAATTATATATATATATATATATATATATATATATATATATATATATGTATATATAGATCTTCAAGTAAATTATAAGTTATGAATAGACTTTGTACAAATCTGAAAGTTCCTGAATAGAAAATTTGTTTTGGTACAATATATAGTAAAAATTTCAATTTGTTTTGTTCTTTAAGTATTGACTGTCACATCTTAGGAATTTTAGTGTTATAAAACTTGGGGTGTGACATCTCATGTTCATTTAAGATGTTGTCTAGCTTTTTGATTTGGCATGGGTTTAGTCCCACATCAAAGAATTGGGCGATGCAACTCCTCCACTCTACCATAAAAAAGAGTGAGCCCCTTTTGTGCATGTATTCAACATTTTTTCTTTACTAAACAATTGGTTTGAAGGAAATGAAATAGTCTCTCTCTCTCCCTCTCTCCTCTGCTTCAGATTGAGCCACATCTCTCTCTAGCCTTCACTTTGAGCCTCAGCCTCATCGCACCTTTCCCTAGGGCCACTTTGGCCACATCTCACTAGAGACTTCACTTCAAGCCACATCTCTCGATCTCATGTTGGGCCACCTAGTCCTTTGGTTTGGACCTTTGCCCATCAAGAGATAAGTTCGTCTCATTAGGTCTCTCTCTCTCCCCGCTGTCCTAGAGAGTGTGGGACTAAGGCTTTGCCTAAGAGAGAGTGTGAGACAAAGGATTTTCCTAAAGTTGAACATTATTTGTAGGCTACTCAACCATTACTCTTGTGGTGCTGTAGTGCTCCCTTGTATTGAGCCTCCAAACCGGTGGTCTATGAGCCGCCTAGGGAACCCAACAAATTCTATTAAAAGCTAATTTCATTTCTGGTTGAACAAGAACCAGCTCCTGTTTTTTGGGTGATAAATTGAAAAACATGGGCAGGAACATGTTCGAACCAGCTACTATTTTTTGGGTGATAAATTGAGAAACATGGGCAGGAACATGACCCATTTTGTACCAGGAATAATAGATGACTAGTGCCAAGAAACTTCATTGCAAGAAAATAGATAAATACATGACAACAAATTAATAAAAAGAACATGAAACAATACGGAAGAAATCCCAAAAGGAGAATCTACTTACAAGATGGCTCCTCGGAAAGTAAAGTAACGTCAACAAGAAAATGAATAAGGCAAGGCAATATCCACCAAGGATACATAGAAAGGATTGTCACCACAAATGAACACCAAATGGATTAGCTTACATTAACAGCAATTGTCCGCAAAGCAGTTGCCGCAAAAATTAAAGAAGAAGACTTGAGTCTTTCTTGACGAAGTGAATCTAGCAGGGAACTGTGGGCTCCAATTTTAGCAAATCTCCGGGCGTAGCCATAAACCTGAATCAGCAAGTGTTTTGGCCATCATTTCATATAAGTATGGTAATCTTGGTAGAAAGTAGTACGGCAGTGGTTCAAGAAGAGAATAACTTTAAAACTCAATCATGCATACATAACGGAATATCTGTAACCCAGTAATTAATAGTTCCAACCATTATACATAAAATAAAAAGATCATGCTATAAGATAAGAAAAGCACAATCCAAAGGGTATGCGTACCTATGGGAAGTAAGGTGGAGTAGGCGAAAGAAATGGACAAATTTTCCATCAGGACTCACCTTGGATTGCCCAAGGGAACATTAATTATTAGAATAAGGAAATAAAAACTAAATATACGGTTTTTGTAATACGGCAAGAGCATGCAATATAACTTTTGAGTGTATCCTCCAAATATCGTCATTTAGTTTGAAGTGGATTAGTGGTATGCTTAATTCTTGTAGGAAAGAATCTAAGCATGGATAAAGTTATGGGTGTCGGTGTTAGGCATAGGTACATTAAGTGTTATTGAGCATTGATGTTATATCTCTCTTTAATGAATGAAGATTTTTTTTTTTTTCCCAAAGCTCTATAAAAGTTATGAGCCACAATATGAAGATATAGTGGAGAGTGGATATAAAAGTTCATGACTAAGGCATGAAATAAGTGTATCAAAAACCAATTCAGTTTTACGTCAGGTAGGTCAACAATTGAGGCAATTTCCCTATTTAGACAATTTATTGAGAAGTTTACGGCAAGGGGAAAAGACTTCTACATGGTCTTTATTGATCTAAAGAAAGCTTATAATAGAGTAACTCGAGATTTAATTTGTTGGGTGATGGAAAAAAAGGAGTCTCCAAGTACCATATTGACTTGGTGAGAGATACATGCAAGGGAGAGCAAACTAGTGTGCAAATAACTAGTGGAGTGACGAGTGAGTTTTTGGTGACACAGGTTTACATCAAGGATCAACGTTGAGCCCATACTTCTTTGTCGTAATTATGTACGACTTCACTAGGTACTTACAAGATGAAGTATTGTGGTATATGTTGTTTGCAGACAACATAGTTTTAAGTGATGAGACCCAAACCGGCGTCAATATAAAATTAGAACTTTAAAAGAATGATCTAGAATATAAAGGTTTTAAAACTAACCAGACTAAGACAGAATATATGGAATCCAAGTTTGTTAATAATAGGAGTAGAGACAAAGAAGAAGTTAAGTTTCACGGCTAAGAAATATCAAAAAGAGCGCATTTTCAATATCTAGAGTCGGTAATCTAGGAAAATTGAGAGATTGAAGAAGATGACACACATTGAATTAGATCTAGATGGATAAAGTAGAGATGTGCAACTGGAGTTTTATGTGATTGTCGCATGCCCAATGAAGTTGAATATTAAGTTCTCTAGGAAGCTGTGAGACCAGCTTTGCTTTATGGGGTGGAATGTTGGGTGGTCAAGAAACAACATACTCATAAGATGAGTGTAGCTGAGATGAGGATGTTGAGATGGATCAATGGTAAGACAAGAAGAGATAGAATTCGAAATGAATAGATTCAGAATAAATTAGATGTAGCTCCAATAGGCGATAAGATGACTTAGATGGGCTGCCCATGTGCAACACAGACCCAGTACAGCACCTGTTAGGAGGTATGAGTTGGTTCTTGTGGAAGACTCGAAAAGAGTAAGGGGTAGACCTAAAAGGATTTGATTGGAAGTAGTGAGAAAAGATATAGGGACTTATGGCCTCACTGAGGGTATGGCCCTTAATAGAGCATGGAGGAGTAAGATTCACGTAGCCGATACCCAAATAGTTTGGAAAAGGCTCTAATGATGACGATATTATCTTTTGTTTAGCAGTGAGAAGGGTATTCAATCTTTTCCACATAACCAATTCTTAAGTTCCTAGATGAATTGCCCATGTTTTAGGGTTTCCAATCTTTTTCTTTGATTTACAATGATTCTCTAAGAAGCGATTTGGAAAGATAACTTTTAAGAAAAAGGAAGGCCGGCCAAAATTAATGCCAATGCCCAATGGTCTAAAGCATCAGTTGCGCCATCTTGCTCATGCAACAGTTTCTTGAAGATAAACAACCGCGACGATACTAGTCCAGTCAAATCCCCTTTTTGCCTTTTCGATGCCTCTTGAGAAAGGTTGTCTCTATACGTGTCAATTATAAAGGTGGGGGCTGGAATTCATCCCTTATATGCATGTTCCATGATTGTTATTCATCTCTTTTTCCATTTCCTTTACTTCTGCAACTTCCTTTTGCAACGTGTACATCTTTTTGGTTGATTTAGCATATTCTTTGTTAAGGTTTCATCACCATGACCTCTCAAAATCATTCCCTAACATTGCTTAATGGAGAAAAGATGTATGATATATTGTTATCTCATCATCTTCCACTTCATAATCTCCAAATTGACAAGCTTTACTCATGGACTCAACAAGTGACGCTCTTCGTGCAAGGGGTTGAGATGGCAAAGCTCAACTAAGAAGAGGATTAATGTTTTAACTTTGATGCCATTATGTTGCACTGTCTTCATAAAGCAAGTATAAGCTTTTCCAACAAGCTGCTCTTCATTCCAGGATATGCTCAAACATCCAAGGTTTTTGACAAATACATAAATATCTTAATCATTATCAGGCTTCAAGAAGACTACCAAGTCTCTAAATGGCTTTATGATTGTTGTTCAACCATGGTCAAAGCCTTTTTGGAGTCACAGAGCGCTGAAACCAATTCAACATGGTTCCACTACGGAGAGGAGGTGTTACTCTTCTTAAGGTGAGTTACATTGGGGGTTTACCCCTAGAGGAACTGCCTTATTAGGAGTTCATCCCTTTTGATAGTGTCATATGTGGAAGAGAATCTTTTAATGCCTCCCAAAGGTCTCCTTGAATTGCTCAAGGAATGCACTGCCCTCGTCTGTGTTCTTGGGAAGAAGCTCATCCCTTTTGGATATTGGATCAAACACTTTCTCTGTCCCAAGGAGAGAGATATCGAGTATCCTAACCCTAAAATGGAAATCCATACAAGTCTGATTCTCTAGACCTATCTACGCCAGAAATCTCCACAAGGTTCATTTTACAGCGTATCTTGTTTTGTTCTGATGTCGGTTTGCTCTTTCCAATTCTAAAGGAAGTTATGTGCGACGTAAATGTTTCTTTGTTGCCTGTGAAATGCCACAGTGCACTAGGTTTGCTCTAGCGCATCCTGCTCTGGCCAACATTTACCAAGGTTTAAGGAAAATCACTCGGGATTATGTTTTCAAGTTAAAAAAGTCTCAAAAGTAAGGAATTTAGAGTGATCTTCCCTGATCAGTATATTTTAGGATGGCTTGCTAACCACATCCCCACTATTCATGATAGAAATCTGAAGTTCAAGGACTCCTAGAAGTGTCCTTTCTTAGCTAGGATTATGAACTATCCTTCCAAGAAATTTAGGAAAGATATAGCCGACAAGGCAAGAATTTGAGACCCAGCATTATCTAATAAGGGCACAGACAAATAGGGCCTTCATGGTTTCAATGGGAGCATCTCTAGATGGGGAGTTATGGGTCCTGAGGAAGAGCTCTTCTTGGGAAGCATTTGTCCCTCTTTGCTTCCTTTAGAGAACAAAAGTTGATGAGAAAGAACCCTATAACCCTCACAGGTTTGCTCAACAGCATGGACTTGGTCAGGGCGTTTCATAGGATGTTTAATTGGTTATAGAGGAGAGTGCCTCGTTAGAACATATAAAGGAGGCATGGAATTATTGTTTGGCGACCAATATAGGGTCTTCTTTCATCACTCCCCATTTTGGACAATAGGATTAAAATGCTCGCTTTTATCGCGGTTGTTTCCAGAATAACTATGGAGCACATTTTTAATACAAGGCTCCTTTATTGGTCAAAGGTTTCGCAAATGTTGAAGATTATATGGCCCATAAGAAGGATGTAAGGCTGTTCATTTTATTCCTTTCCCTTGGGGCTGAACCCAAGGTGGTGTATGTTAGAGATCCCAGATAACGTTTGGGATGCATATGGGATTGTGGTGGATGGGCAAACTAAGGCCCACATTCTTTTAGCCAAGGACCGAATGGTTGTACCAACCGCTCAAACGAATGGTATATCTTCTGTTCCGGCAAGCTCACCCGTTAGTGTAGGTGGGATTTCTGTCTTGAGCAATAGTGGCAAATCTTCTATTTTGGCAAGTTCACCCGTTAGTGTAGGTGGGGTTTCTGTCGTGAGCAGCATCCAACGTTCAAAAAGTCAGCCGCCTGACTGCCTAAGCAGTTATTTTGATAAAACGCCTAGGCGTTCTTAAGGCGGGATCAATTAGGCATCAGAACTAGGCGTCCGCCTAGGCGGTCGGGCGCCCAATTAAGCGGTCAATAAGGCGGAACTAGGCGCCCGCCTAAGCGGCACGCAGGTCTTTAGTGGAAAGGTTTTTTCAAGTGGGGGCAAAAAATGACATTTTACCCCCTTAAAAGGAGGGATAAGGGTTTTGGGGGGTCATTCTTGTCCCCCAAAACAAATTTAGTGAACTTTAGAGAGACAAATAACTTGAAAAAAACTAGATTTGAAGATTTTTTGAGAGATCGAATTTTTTTTCGAAATCCTCAAATGGTCACGATATTAAAGGATATTCAACCCCAAACGTTTTTAGGCTTATAGGGGTTGTAAACGAGGAGATTTGGGATCCCAAACATTTTGGTTTGGCCCGAAATCGAGTCCACTTCAAGAAGGTTGGTATATTTCAATAGTTTTCATTAGGTTTTGTATTCTTTTCCCATAATTTCTAATGATGTTATTTTTTGCTATTTGTATTTTTCTTTTTGATACTTTGATATATATATTTGATATGTTATTGTTTATTTGGAAGCTTGAATTATTATTTTATTAGTTAGTTCAATAATTGCTTAATTCTTAATTGCTTATTAAATAATTGTATGTGCAATGTGTTTTCTTGATGTATGATTCATAAAACATAATTATTTTATTCGTTAGTTTAATATTTTCTTGTGAGTGACTTGTGATTTGCGA